CATTCTCTGGCAACCATGGAAGCAGCCATCTTGATTACTGCAAGTGCTTTACCTCGCTAGCCACAGTAGCCGCAACAGGAAGTACGTCAAAATCAGTGACGTCATAGATTCCTACCAGTACTGTCGCAGTGCGCTGCATCTTATTTCGGAACGNTATTTACAGTACTGACAGTACTGGCAGTACATTACGGAACGCAGCCTTAGTTAGATCGGTGTTGGAGTGGGAGTGTCAGGTCATGTATCCTCTGAGGTCACGGGAAATGCAGGTAATAAACAGATTACAGTTTGCATGTGTACGGGTGGCCTGCGGCCTTATGCGCTCCACCCCGACCAACGTTCTACTAGACTTAGCTTGTGAGCATCCTCTCTTGTACAGGCATAAGTATTTAGTTAGCAAGTATGTTTCTAGGGTCAGTGCGAGAACAAACTACCCGGTGGGTCTTAGACAAGACCCGTGCGGACTGGGTCCCCACGTGCAATGACAACCGGTTTGGCCTCTTCGAAGTTGGTAACGAACTTTCCCACCTGGTTGCTAGTGTTAAAAAGTATTCCCTACCGGGACACCTGTCCTTTCCGTTTGGTATTCAGTATCACAAGTGGACACCGAGATTGGGTACAGCATACGTAGTCCTGAGTCCCCTCAAGTCCTTTTCGAAGAATACTTGTCAGAGATAGGTATTACACGTGTTTTCTTTACAGATGGGTCGTTAGCTAGGAACTCCCCTAAGAACCCCCCGATTGCGGTGGGCTTCGCGGTGGTCTCTGAATCCTTTGACCTGGTTCATAGCGAACGTATACACTCCGGGGCTACAATCTTCGAAGCAGAGGCAAGGGCGGTCCAGTGCGCCCTGGAGTATATCGATGAGTTTGGATTCCAGTCTGCGGTTATCGCTTCTGATTCCCTCAGTGTCATGCGATGCCTGGAGGCCACGGACCCTAAGGGTCTGCAACCTGACTCTATATACTTAATAAAAAAAACTCGATTTGGTAATGAGAAAGAAAAATTTAGCGGTTAGATTTGTTTGGATCCCGGGTTATCATGGCATACGCAGAAACGATCGCGCGGATACAAACGCCAAACTTTTCTTATCTCTACCTGAACCAGTTGAAAAACAGGATGTTTCATCTCTGTTCCCCGTTATCAAATCACAAACACTACAACAGTCTAGGAAATATTTACTCCGTGAAGCCCAAAGTAAGGGACGTAGGTACTTTGAATTCATCCAAGAACCGCTAAGTAAACCGTGATTCTCTAGAGCCAAAGAGAAAAAATACTTACCGCGCCAACTTGTAACTTTTATATCAAGAATTCGTTCACACCACACAGCGGTGAACGAACACTTAAGCGACAAGAGTATAGTGGACAGTGCTGCGTGTTCTTGCGGCCATCAGTCGCAAGACATTAACCATGTGTTCCTATATTGCCCTAAGAATAAGACTGCGTCAGATAAACTGCTCATGGATCTGTTTCATAATGGCTTTAGCCCTCCATACAATGTAGTGGAAGTGGCTTTCTCTTCAAATGTTAGCTCCATGTTTGCTCTGCTCTCTTTTGTCAATTCTGCCAACGTTAACGTGTAATCTCCTATATGAGCGAAACATCCCCCCTCAATCGCACCTGTTTTTTCTCCTTCAAATCCCCACTCTATTCATTCCTCCTTTCATACCACCTGCTTCAAACTAGTTTCTATACATACCACACACAGCTCAGCCTGAAACGAAATTCACTAAATTAAACTGTTACGTCCTGACCTACGGTTATGATCGGGTCCTAACGGAGGAACGCAACTTGACACACGACACCTTTGTGTATTATATCTCGGCACACTGATCTAATGAGATAAGGCAAGCATGCGAGTCGAGTGAGACTGTTCAACGACGTAGTCAAGTCAACGGACTTCCCGATATTACTTGTCTAACGTCTTCTCACTCGTCGGTCCTCTTTTAGGTCTTAGAAACAAATCT